GCTCCCAGCACGCATGTCCGGTACTCACGGAAAGGTCCCGACTTCCTCTTTCGGTCACATGACTGTAAACCATGCCCCGCCTCCTGGCTTCTGAAACCCTTAAAGGGCCGGGAGGCGCTGGTGTGAAGGGGTTAAAGCGGAACTTCCCCTTTTGGGTGGAGCTCCGCTTTAACTCACACTCATACATACTAGAGCCAATTTAGACAGGATCCAATTAACCTACCAGCATGTCTTTGGAGTGTGGGAGGAAACCAGAGTACCTGGAGGAAACCCACGCAGGCACAGGGAGAACATGCAAACTCCAGGGCGGGCGTGGTGCCATGGTTGGGATTTGAACCAATGACCCTAGTGCTGCCAGGAGGGAGTGCTAACCATTTAGCCACTGTGCTGCCCCAATTATTACATCATTTAGCCACTGTGCTGCCCCAATTATTACACCATTTAGCCACTGTGCTGCCCAATTATTACATTTTTTAGCCACTGTGCTGCCCCAAGTATTACATCATTTAACCACTGTGCTGCTCCAATTATTACACCATTTAACCACTGTGCTGCCCCAATTATTACACCATTTAGCCACTGTGCTGCCCCAATTATTACATAATTTAACCACTGTGCTGCTCCAATTATTACACCATTTAACCACTGTGCTGCCCCAATTATTACACCATTTAGCCACTGTGCTGCCCCAATTATTACATAATTTAACCACTGTGCTGCTCCAATTATTACACCATTTAGCCACTGTGCTGCCCCAATTATTACACATCACACACACCGCATCCTGTTTGGTACTGCAAAATAAATATTTTATTTGAGATTGCTGTATACAAAAGAATGGCACTTGAACCCGTTGGTGCAGGGAAGGGCACAGCAATTTACAAGCAATGGAACACAAAGATTTAAAGGGAAAGGTCCCAAAAAATCTGTTGAAAACGTCAGCCCCTGCTCAGCGATCCCTCCACACTCCCTGCTAACCCAGAGACCTGGTCTGTCTTTATTTCCCACCAGCAAGCATACATTCTCACCCAGAGATAATGGAAGGAACGTGTGTGAACAGGAACATTCCTTGTTGCCCATAGCAACCATTCAGCACCCATCTGTTATTTTAGGCAGCGAGAAATGTTGCTGACACACTCATTATTCTGAACTTGTACAACAGGTATGTCAACCTAAAGGGATCTGACTGTGATGAATCTTCAAAGAGCCACCAGATATGTCCCCCGAGGGCCACATCTACTCAATCCTAGAAAAAGATTATAGCATTTTAGAAATTAATAGGATAATAATAATTGCAACGCGGAAAATTTTTTTAGCTCAAGGGGGCTATAAAGCATTGTTGAAGTATACAGCCACAAAATGATGTCAGGATGTGGAGTCCATTCCGAAAAAAAAAAACTGGGACCTCATTCAATTTATAGCCGTATTAAACCCAAAAAAAGCAAGCATTTTTTACATTGCAGCTTACCAATTCTTAGATGAGATGGCTGCATTAGTTTTCATTTTTAAGCTTTCTTCTATTTTCATCTGGTGATCTGGACAGTAAGTCTGTTGTTTTTCAAAAGAACAAGCTCTCTTGCAGTTACAGAGAGGAGACAAACCATTTACCACTGGCAGGGTGCTTACAATGATCAGCTTTTATTTATGGAAAACTTTTATCCCCCCCCCCCCCCCCCACACACACACACACAAAAGAAAAAAATACTTTTGCTGTACCTGATTATAAAGTGTGAGTTGGAGTTTGGCTTTAATTTGTTAGAACATCTAATGCACCCCACATGCTGCTGTCCAAAGGTGTCCCCCTGTGCTCCTTCATCCAGACTGAGGGCACTCTAATACCAAAGGTGCATTACTGACTGGCCAGATCACCAGGAGAAAAAAAGGGGAAAAGCCTAAAAAAAAAACAGACTGAAGAGAAACCTGAATGCAGCCACCACATCTAATGATTGGTGAGCTGCAACATACACGGCTCAATAAAAATGAAAGGAACTCTTAGTAATCAGAGTCTAGCATCAAGTCAATGAAACTCCTGGGATATTGATCTGGTCAGTTAAGTAGCAGAGGGGGTTGGCAATCAGTTTCAGCTGCTTTGGTGTTAATGAAATTAACAACAGGTGCACTAAATGGGCAACAATGAGACGACCCCCAAAACAGGAATGGCTTTACAGGTGGAGGTCACTGACATTTGTTTGCTTACTCATCTTTTCTGGTTTTCTCTAGTTTTGCATTTGGCTAGGGTCAGTGTCACTACTGGTAGCATGAGGCAATACCTGGACCCTACAGAGGCTGCACAGGCAGTCCAACTCCTCCAGGATGGCACATCAATACGTTCCATTGCCAGAAGGTTTGCTGTGTCTCCCAGCACAGTCTCAAGAGCATGGAGGAGATTCCAGGAGACAGGCAGTTCCTCTAGGAGAGCTGGACAGGGCCGTAGAAGGTCCTTAACTCATCAGCAGGACCAGTATCTGCTCCTTTGGCAGTGCTCATCCTGTTCCTCCTTGCACAGAGCCCTACAAAATTACCTCCAGCAGGCCACTGGTGGGAATTTCTCTGACCAAATAATCAGAAACAGACTTCATGAGGGTGGCCTGAGGGCCCGACGTCCTCTAGTGGGCCCTCTGCTCACCTCCCGGCACCATAGAGCTTGATTGGCATTTTCCATTGAACACCAGAATTGGCAGGTCCACCACTGGCCCCCTGTGCTTTTCACAGATGAGTGCAGGTTCACCCTGAGCACATGTGACAGACGTGAAAGGGTCTGGAGAAGCCGTGGAGAACGTTCTGCTGCCTGTAACATGGTTCAACATGACCTGTTTTGGTGGTGAGTCAGTGATGGTCTGGGGAGGCATATCCATGGAGGGATGCACGGACCTCTACAGGCTAGACAATGGCACTCTGACTGCCATTAGTTATGGGGATGAAATCCTTGGACCCATTGTCAGACCCTACGCTGGTGCAGTGGGTCCTGGGTTCCTCCTGGTGCATGACAATGCCTGGCCTCATGTAGCGAGAGTATGCAGGCAGTTCCTGGAGGATGAAGGAATACCATTGAATGGCCCCCACGCTCACTTGACCTAAATCCAATAGAACACCTCTGGGATGTCATGTTTCGGTCCATCCGACGCCGCCAGATTGCATCTCAGACTGTCCAGGAGCTCAGTAATGCCCTGGTCCAGATCTGGGAGGAAATCCCCCAGGACACATCCGTGGTCTCATTAGGAGCATGACCCGACGTAGTCAAGCATGCATACAAGCACATGGGGGCCATACAAACTACTGAGGACCATTCTGAGTTGCTGCAATGACATTTCAGCAAAATGGACCTGCATCATTTTTTCACTTTGATTTTCAGGGTGTCTTTGAATTCAGTCCTCTGATGGAAATGAAACTGATCGACCTACAAACAATGGGGCATCCCTACGTTCCTAACACATTACCCGTCCATATAAGTATAGAGATCCAGCAGATTTATCCCCATTGAGATCTGATGTGTTTTCAAAGTGTTCCTTTCATTTTTTTGAGCAGTGTATTCCATTTTTGGTTTTGGGTTTAATACCACTTTATAGTGTTAGCTCACCTTTACAAGTAAAAAAAACCTACCTGTCAGATAGGAGTGTCTGTAGATAAAAACAAACTCTACCATGCATGTGTGGTGGGGGGGGAAGGGGAGATGGCTGTTGAGAGCTCACTCCTGTGATGGTGGGGGCGAGCAGTAACTGCTGAGAGTGTCTTAGCAACGTCTAAGCAACCAGGCAGAACAGGATGATGCCGTCTCTGCGGGGTTTTCAGGCAGGCTTCAGGAGGCACCTAAATGGCCTACACTTATATAGCAAGGACATTATCCAAAGTTAGTCAAAGCTGCACAGTTTGTTTTTATCTATAGGCATCCCTTATCTAGTTTTTTTTGGTAAAAGTGAACCAACCCTTTAAATCCTTAGCTAGCTAAAGGCCACTGAGAAGCAAGAGTGCTGCATTGTGGCCCAAAAAAAAACACATTTGAAATGCCTGTCATAGAAGTTTCCAGGATCCAGATTTCAGATTTTGACTCTGGCACCAAACTCAGTATATATACTAGGTATAACAGGCACAGGCCTGCACACTGGGTGGACTGACCAGTACAAAGCAGCATGCTTCAGGGCACACACACACAGCCCCCACTCGGTTAACTGATCATCCCGAGGGGGGAACTGACCATTTGGAAACTTGGGTCAGTAGGGCCCGGGGTCAGTAGAGGGCCCCATGAGATGCCCCCTGGTACCTTTTCCATAGGCTTTTTTGAGTTTGGGCAAGGACACAGGGTTTGAGGGGCGGACTGACCATTTGGAAACTCGGGGCCCGAGGGCCCAGGGTCAGGGGCCCCATGAGATGTCCCCTTTCATAGGTTTTTTTGGGTGTGGTTTGGTGTGGGGAGGACCCATGATCCCCTATTGCCTGGGGGTCCCAGTCAGTCCGCCCCTGATAACAGGTATATACAAGAAAGTTTGGGGGAATAGAAGCCGGAGTTGGGCTTTAACTCTTCTCTAGAAACAATCTATTAAGTTATTAGAAGGACTGAACGTTCCAATGATTGTGTGGAAACCCCTGCAAAACAGCGCTGTGCCTGGCTTGGTGATTGGCTAATATTTTGTATGATAGTTGCACTGCTATTGGTTTTTGGCAAGGATCTGCAATATGATTGGCTACTCTGCACAAGAACTAACAGTCAATTACTGTGGGGGTAGATTTACTAAAACTGGAGCACTCAGAATCTGGTGCAGCTGTGCATGGCAGCCAATCACCTTCTAACCTCAGCTTCTCCAATTAAGTATTGGCAATATACCTGGAAGCTGATTGGTTTCTTTGCAGAGGTGCACTAGATTTTGCACTCTCCAGTTTTAGTAAATACCCCCCCAATGTGTCGCTTGGCCTAAGAACATATGAAACTGGCACTATACAATATATCAGGAAACATTTTGGAACGAAGATGTATTGGGGGATGGCGGGCGTTGATGCCTTGGTATTTAAAGTTCAGTCAAGTCATCATTGAAGTATAAGTGTATGCTGGCTGCATATAGGTCTGAATCTATCTTCAGCTCCTCGAATTCATCATCTTCATCTTTCACACCGTTTTCCTCTAATGTCAGATCCATGTTCAGAGGAACACCGCAGTACTTCCATGTGTAACTGGCAGCATGGGCATTGTATGGCAAATAGCGGCGCAGAATCTCCCATATAGTTTCCTCTGAACAGCCTAAAAGAGACAAGAGTGACACTATAAACTTCTTATATAAGGCGAGACAGGCCTATCATTCTCCTCTACCAGACTCATAGCTCCCTTCTGTCTGTGTCACCCTGCAGGAGGAGGACAGACTCATAGCCCCCTTCTGTCTGTATCACCCTGCAGGAGGAGGACAGACTCATAGCCCCTTCTGTCTGTATCACCCTGCAGGAGGAGGACAGACTCATAGCCCCCTTCTGTCTGTATCACCCTGCAGGAGGAGGACAGACTCATAGCCCCCTTCTGTCTGTATCACCCTGCAGGAGGAGGACAGACTCATAGCCCCCTTCTGTCTGTATCACCCTGCAGGAGGACAGACTCATAGCCCCCTTCTGTCTGTATCACCCTGCAGGAGGAGGACAGACTCATAGCCCCTTCTGTCTGTATCACCCTGCAGGAGGAGGACAGATTCATAGCCCCCTTCTGTCTGTATCACCCTGCAGGAGGAGGACAGACTCATAGCCCCCTTCTGTCTGTATCACCCTGCAGGAGGAGGACAGACTCGTAGCTCCCTTCTGTCTCTATCACCCTGCAGGAGGAGGACAGACTCATAGCCCCCTTCTGTCTGTATCACCCTGCAGGAGGAGGACAGACTCATAGCCCCCTTCTGTCTGTATCACCCTGCAGGAGGAGGACAGACTCATAGCCCCTTCTGTCTGTATCACCCTGCAGGAGGAGGACAGACTCATAGCCCCCTTCTGTCTGTATCACCCTCAGGAGGAGGACAGACTCATAGCCCCCTTCTGTCTGTATCACCCTGCAGGAGGAGGACAGACTCATAGCCCCCTTCTGTCTGTATCACCCTGCAGGAGGAGGACAGACTCATAGCCCCCTTCTGTCTGTAGCACCCTGCAGGAGGAGGACTCTAGCCCCCTTCTGTCTGTATCACCCTGCAGGAGGAGGACAGACTCATAGCCCCCTTCTGTCTGTATCACCCTGCAGGAGGAGGACAGACTCATAGCCCCCTTCTGTCTGTATCACCCTGCAGGAGGAGGACAGACTCGTAGCCCCCTTCTGTCTGTATCACCCTGCAGGAGGAGGACAGACTCATAGCCCCCTTCTGTCTGTATCACCCTGCAGGAGGAGGACAGACTCTCATAGCCCCCTTCTGTCTGTGTCACCCTGCAGGAGGAGGACAGACTCATAGCCCCCTTCTGTCTGTATCACCCTGCAGGAGGAGGACAGACTCATAGCCCCCTTCTGTCTGTATCACCCTGCAGGAGGAGGACAGACTCATAGCCCCCTTCTGTCTGTATCACCCTGCAAGGAGTGAAAGCTACCTTTGATACGTAGAGTCCACTTACCTCCAGGGTATGCTCCTGGGATGTCAGCGTATTAATGATACGTACGGTACGGGTTTTAGCAGACAAGATTCCGATCTCATAGGATGGATCCCGCCACCAAGGGCGTCCAAAGTCTGTGTCCCAATCAGAACTGGGGTAGGAAGGGGATATATGGAGGAAACGCCCCTGAGGTGTACAGTATCTCAAGCAGCCAGTTTGCGGATCTATGAAGGTCTTGATCTGTGATCACAGTGACAAAATAAAAAGGCTGTCAGCAGAAAAGAACTATAAAAAAAAAAAAAAAAAACATATGAAGGTTAAGTATCTCAGCACTTCCCTGGCGTGACAGCTCAGAGGCCAACTAGTGAAGCAAGGATCAGAACATGTGGCCCAACACGCTCTGACATGTGTGAGAGCACTGGACGCTGGATATTTGAACACGCTGTGTGAGAGCGCCGGATGCTAGACATGCCGCGGGGAGAGCGCCGGATGCTAGACACGCCGCGTGAGAGCGCCGGATGGTAGACACGCCGGGGTGAGAGCGCCGGATGGTAGACACGCTGGGGTGAGAGCGCCGGATGCTAGACACGCCTGGGGAGAGCGCCGGATGCTAGACACGCCGGGTGAGAGCGCCGGATGCTAGACACGCCGGGTGAGAGCGCCGGATGCTAGACACGCCGGGTGAGAGCGCCGGATGCTAGACACGCCGCTGTGTGAGAGCGCCGGATGCTAGACTCGCTGTGTGAGAGCGCTGGATGCTAGACTCGCTGTGTGAGAGCGCCGGATGCTAGATACGCCGTGTGAGAGCACCGGATGGTAGATACGCCGTGTGAGATCGCCGGATGCTAGACTCGCCGTGTGAGAGCGCCGGATGCTAGACACGCTGTGTGACAGCGCCGGATGTAGACACGCTGTGTGACAGCGCTGGATGCTAGATACGCTGTGTGACAGCGCCGGATGCTAGATACGCCGTGTGAGAGCGTCGGATGCTGGTAGACTTGCTGTGTGAGAGCGTCGGATGTAGACTTGCTGTGTGAGAGCGCCGGATGGTAGATACGCTGTGTGAGAGCGCCGGATGCTAGATACGCCATGAGAGCGCTGGATGCTAGACATGCCGTGGGAGAGCAAAAAGCTGGGAGAAGTGTGATCGACGGGCAGGAGAAGAGGACACTGGGGGCCATGTGGACAGTGAGGGGCAGCATGAAACAGGACAGGACAGGGCCATGTTGTCAGTGGGTAGGAGATCCCAAACAGTTAGGGAATCATAAGGTGCTCAGAATAGGATACAGTTAAGAAGGAAAATTTAATAGCAAATCATAGAAAATAATTCTAATTTGTTTTCTTGGATTATCCGTTACATTACATTAGTGGGTAAAATGGCCAACAAGAGTGTTGATGCGAATTAGTGCGCATCTTGCTCCATGTACACGTTCCTTGAATAGCCATGTAACGGAACCAGACCCAGACTGCACTCGGGTATTTCCGTTGGACTCCCGCTTCCCTATCCGAACACAGATCCACGGACACCACTCGAAGTAAAAATCAGGAAATAGACGGCTTTATTTTAACACAGACACAAGATATAAACATTCAAAAGGAACAATTTCTCCCCTCCCTGCATATTTACACAGGGCGGGGCAAACCAAATCTAGCAACCAGAGACACATCACAGACACCCCCCACCAAGCCAACACACAAACAATACATCCCGTAATAGTTTGCTCCCAAGCAAGACACACAATAGAACAAGTGGGATGCGCCACATGGCAGTAAACAATGAACAACCCCCACCTATACATGTCTACACAATATCAGGACATTACACCCTGTACCCCTAACAGGCACAGGGTGACTTACACATAGGAGGGACATGGGGAGCTGAGACAGGGGTCTCCCCACCTCTCTAAATTGAGCTGTGTTCCATGGGCCCCCCACCCAAAGTGACTTCCGTCACAAGCCATTCGAGGGTGAATAGTTCTGTGCAAGATGTGAGCAAGTGCTTTGTTGGGAAGCTCAAATCCTGGATCCAAAGAATCAACTTGCAACACTACAAAGCACCAACAATCTGTAAAGGAGTTTGGACCTTTACCCATCAGGTGGCGCTGTGGCCAGTATAGAGGGGGGTGGGGATAGGTAGGTGCAGAAACCAGATGTAGGTAGCTGGATTGCATTTAGAGGGAAGAGCTTTAGAGGGGCTGGTCCTGAGTTGGTACATCCCGATAAATATGCCAAGTTGCATGAAGGTTGGGGATATCCGCTCAGGAGTGGTGTTCCCAGAGCAGACTGCCTCCTCTAGCTGCCAGGGGAATGACTACTCTGGTGAGGATGCAGAAAGGTTAGACCAGGGGTGGGCAACCTGTGGCTTTTCAGCTCTTGCAGGACTACAAGTTCCATCATGCCTCTGCAAGTCATAGCTGTAACTGTCAGTTTTTGCAATGTCTCATGGGACCTGTAGAGTCATGCTTGTAACTTCCAGTCTTTGCAATGCCTCATGGAAATGAAGTTCCACAACAGCTAGAGAGCCGCAGGCTGCCCACCCCAGGGTTAGACAGCTAATCCTCGTACGCACAATGAGAAAATCGGAGAATGATCATCCATTTTTTTCTGCATGCTAGTCTCATATCGAAAATGAAGAGGTTACTAAAGTTCCGAAAATTCCCGTACGACAGCATACAACTTTGGAAGTGATGTCATGTATTGTATCAAAAAAACCTTTTTAGTGTCCATACAATTATTATGTGAAAAATCGAAATTAAAGTCCATAAGTCTTTCTTCCAATTTCTGTAAGAACTCGCCGTATGAATCCAGTAACTGCCGTGTACCTCAAAATAAAGAAAACTCAATAGTGTATTATCCTCACAAAATGACCTAATAAATTCATCAATAATCAAAAAGAATTATTTCCCAAAAAAATTCCTCATTATTATTGTGCAAAATGCAAAACTGTGAAAACACGTGATAAACCGTAAAAACACGTGATAAAACCGTGAAAACACGTGATAAACCGTGAAAACACATGATAAACCGTAAAAAACACGTGATAAACCGTGAAAACACGTGATAAACCGTGAAAACACATGATAAAACGCTAAAACACGTGATAGTGAAACACTCTATGTGATAGCAGGGGTGGACTGACAACTCATGGGGACCTCGGGCAATAGGAGATCATGGGATCCCTGTGTCCTTGCCCAAACTCAAAAAAGCCTATCAAAAAGGTACCAGGGGCATCTCATGGGGCCCCCTACTGACCCCAGGCCCTCGGGCAGTGCCCGAGTTTCCAATTGGTCAGTCCGCCCCTGTGTGATAGTAATATATATACTTCTCTGTGAACACTCAGTGTATACTTCTAAGTGGCTGAATTGCATACCCTTGGCCCAATAAATAAATAGCCAGCCTTTTAACCACTTCCAGTCCGGACACTTTCACCCCCTTCCAGTCCGGACAGCACTTTCACCCCCTTCCAGTCCGGACACTTTCACACCCCTTCCGGTCCGGACACTTTCACCCCCTTCCGGTCCGGACACTTTCACACCCCCTTCCGGTCCGGACACTTTCACCCCCTTCCGGTCCGGACACTTTCACCCCCCTTTCCGGTCCGGACACTTTCCCCCCCTTCCGGTCCGGACACTTTTTCCCCCCCTTCCGGTCCGGACACTTTCCCCCCCTTTCCGGTCCCCGGACAACTTTCCCCCCCCCTTCCGGTCCGGACACTTTCCCCCCCTTCCGGTCCGGACACTTTCATCCCCTTCCGGTCCGGACACTTTCATCCTCTTCCGGTCCGGACACTTTCATCCCCTTCCGGTCCGGACACTTTCATCCCCTTCCGGTCCGGACACTTTCATCCCCTTCCGGTCCGGACACTTTCATCCCCTTCCGGTCCGGACACTTTCATCCCCTTCCGGTCCGGACACTTTTCCCCCCCCTTCCGGTCCGGACACTTTCCCCCCCCTTCCGGTCCGGACACTTTCCCCTCCTTCCGGTCCGGACACTTTCATCCCCTTCCGGTCCGGACACTTTCATCCCCTTCCGGTCCGGACACTTTCATCCCCTTCCGGTCCGGACACTTTCATCCCCTTCCGGTCCGGACACTTTCATCCCCTTCCGGTCCGGACACTTTCATCCCCTTCCGGTCCGGACACTTTCACCCCCTTCCGGTCCGGACACTTTCACCCCCTTCCGGTCCGGACACTTTCAAACCCCCTTCCGGTCTGGACACTTTCCCCCCCCTTCCGGTCCGGACACTTTCCCCCCCCTTCCGGTCCGGACACTTTTCCCCCCCCTTCCGGTCCGGACACTTTCCCCCCCTTCCGGTCCGGACACTTTCCCCTCCTTCCGGTCCGGACACTTTCCCCCCCTTCCGGTCCGGACACTTTCATCCCCTTCCGGTCCGGACACTTTCACCCCCCCCTTCCGGTCCGGACACTTTCCCCCCCTTCCAGTCCGGACACTTCCCCCCCCCCTTCCTGTCCAGGCCAATTTTCAGCTTTCAGTGCTATCACACTTTGAATGACAATTGTGCGGTCATTCAACAATGTACACATATGAATTTTTTAGCATTTCTTTGAGACAGATAAAACTTTATTTTTGTGGTATTTATTCACCGCTGGGATTTTTATTTTTTTTGCTATGTAGATGAAAATGTCCAAAATTTTTTTTAAAAAGGGGTTTTTTCTTATAAAATTTTGCTAATAAAAAATATTTCATCATAAATCTTGGCCAAAATGTATTCCGTTATCTTAGTAAAAAAAACAAAACAAAAAAAAAAACAAATTAGTTTATAACCAAAATTTATAATTTTTAAACATTTTTTTTTTTTACATTTTTAGATTATTAATTTATTTATTTGATTTTTTTACTATTACTGTCACCCTAGCAGTACAGTGTCACCATGGTGACACTGTACTACTTGTGGGGGGTGATGAAGATTTTTTTTTTTTTTACACTTTACTAGGCAGACAGGGCACTGTTGGGGGACCCCAGAAGAGGAGGATCGGGACTGCTCTGTGCAAAACCATTACACAGAGCAGGTATGTAAAACATTTATTTTAATTTACGCAGTGCTTTACATATATACTATACATTCACATCAGTCCCTAACCCTCAAGGGGCGTACAATCTAAGGTCCCTAACCCTCAAGGGGCGTACAATCTAAGGTCCCTAACCCTCAAGGGGCATACAATCTAAGGTCCCTAACCCTCAAGGGGAGTACAATCTAAGGTCCCTAACCCTCAAGGGGAGTACAATCTAAGGCCCCTAACCCTCAAGGGGTGTACAATCTAAGGTCCCTAACCCTCAAGGGGTGTACAATCTAAGGTCCCTAACCCTCAAGGGGTGTACAATTTCTAAGGTCCCTAACACCCCAAGGGGCGTACAATCTAAGGCCCCTAACCCTCAAGGGGTGTACAATCTACGGCCCCTAACCCTCAAGGGGTGTACAATCTAAGGTCCCTAACCCTCAAGGGGCGTACAATTACGGTCCCTAACCCTCAAGGGGCGAGTACAATCTAAGGTCCCTAACCCTCAAGGGGCGTACAATCTAAGGTCCCTAACCCTCAAGGGGAGTACAATCTAAGGTCCCTAACCCTCAAGGGGAGTACAATCTAAGGCCCCTAACCCTCAAGGGGTGTACAATCTAAGGTCCCTAACCCTCAAGGGGCGTACAATCTAAGGTCCCTAACCCTCAAGGGGGCGTACAATCTAAGGCCACTAACCCTCAAAGGGGTGTACAATCTAAGGTCCCTAACCCTCAAGGGGTGTACAATCTAAGGCCCCTAACCCTCAAGGGGTGTACAATCTAAGGCCCCTAACCCTCAAGGGGTGTACAATCTAAGGTCCCTAACCCTCAAGGGGCGTACAATCTAAGGTCCCTAACCCTCAAGGGGGCGTACAATCTAAGGTCCCTAACCCTCAAGGGGATACAATCTAAGGCCCCTAACCCTCAAGGTGGTGTACAATCTAAGGTCCCTAACCCTCAAGGGGCGTACAATCTAAGGTCCCTAACCCTCAAGGGGTGTACAATCTGACTAAGGCCCCTAACCCTCAAGGGGTGTACAATCTAAGGTCCCCTAACCCTCAACGGGCATACAATCTAAGGTCCCTAACCCTCAAGGGGACCCAATCTAATGGTCCCTAACCCTCAAGGGGAGTACAATCTAAGGAAAACCCTCAAGGGGTATACAATCTAAGGTCCCTAACCCTCAAAGGGGCGTACAATCTAAGGTCCCCTAACCCTCAAGGGGAGTACAATCTAAGGTCCCTAACCCTCAAGGGGTGTACAATCTAAGGTCCCTAACCCTCAAGGGGTGTACAATCTAAGGCCCCTAACCCTCAAGGGGTGTACAATCTAAGGTCCCTAACCCTCAAGGGGCGTACAATCTAAGGTCCCTAACCCTCAAGGGGGCGTACAATCTAAGGCCACTAACCCTCAAGGGGTGTGCAATCTAAGGCCCCTAACCCTCAAGGGGTGTACAATCTAAGGTCCCTAATTCACATTCATACATACACATACTAAGGACAATTTAGACAGGAGCCAATTCACCTACCAGCATGTCTTTGGAGTGTGGGAGGAAATCCACGCAGGAACAGGGAGAACATGCAAACTCCAGGCAGGTGGTGCTGTGGCTGGGATTCAAACCAACGACCCCAGTACTGCCAGGCGGGAGTGCTAACCATTTAGCCATTGTGCTGCTCAATGTTTATTATGTTTACAATCACTTTAATGACCTAACAGACATTCTCTAATTTGTACTTACATCACCAGTCTTGGGATTGAACCAATGACTGATATCCTTCCCAGCAGATTCAATTATTGGCTTCAACAAAATGTCACCTAAAAGGACACAAGATGTGAATGTAAATATGGTATGAGGGACAAGAGAGGGGGGGCAGGTTAGAGGAGGACACATAGGGACAGTATGAGGGGGACAGACGTAAGGGGGACACACAGGAACAGTATGAGGGGGGGGGGGGACACAGGGATGGTATGGGGGGAAAGATGAAAGGGGGACACACAGGGATGGTATGGGGGGACAGATGAAAGGGGGACACACAGGGATGGGGGGGGAGGGACAGGTTAGGGGAGACACACAGGGACAGTATGGAGAGACAGGTGAGAAAAGGACACAAAGGGAGGGTATGGGTTGGGGGGAGGACAGGTGAGGGGGGGACACGTAGAGATGGTATGGGGGGGGGGGGGAGATACAGGGACAGTATGGGGGGGGGGTGAGGGGGAAAACACAGGGACGGTATGACGGGGACAGGTTAGAGTGGGACACACAAGGACAGTATGGAAGGACGGGTGAGAGGGGGACACACAGGGACAGTATGGAAGGACAGGTTAGAGGGGGACACACAGGGCAGTATGGGGGGACAGGTTAGAGGGGGATACACAAGGACTGTATGGGGGGACAGGTGAGGGGGACACACAGGGACAGTATGGAAGGACAGGTGAGAGGGGGAAACACAGGGACAGTATGGAAGGACAGGTGAGAGGGGGACACACAGGGACAGTATGGAAGGACAGGTGAGAGGGGGACACACAGGGACAGTATGGGGGGGGGCAGGTGAGGGGGTACACACAGGGACAGTATGGAAGGAAAGGTTAGAGGGGAAACACAGGGACAGTATGGAAGGACAGGTGAGAGGGGGACACACAGGGACAGTATGGGGGGACAAGTGAGATGGGGGGACACACAGAGACAGTATGGAAAGACAGGTGAGAGGGGTACACACAGGGACAGTATGGAAGGACAGGTGAGAGGGGGACACACAGACAGTATGGAAGGACAGGTGAGAGGGGGACACGGAGAGATGTATGGGGGGGGGGGGATACAGGGACAGTATGGGGGGGGGGGGGGACTGTAATGTTGAGGGGGAAAGCACAGGGATGGTATGGACAGGGACAGGTTAGAGTGGGACACACAGGAGACAGTATGGAAGGAAAGGTTAGAAGGGGAAACAAAGGGACAGTATGGAAGGACAGGTGAGGGGGGGACACACAGAGGGACAGTATGAAAGGACAGGTTAGATGGGGGGACACACACACAGGGACAGTATGGAAGGACAGGTTATGGGGGGGGGACACACAAGGACAGTATGGAAGGACAGATTAGATATGGGGGGGACACACAGGGACAGTATGGAAGGACAGGTGAGAGGGGGACACACAGGGACAGTATGGGGGGGGACAAGTGAGAGGGGAACACACAGGGATATGGTATGGACAGGAAAGGTTAGAGGGGAAACACAGGACAGTATGGAAGGACAGGTGAGAGGGGGACACACAAGGACAGTGTGGAAGGACAGGTGAGAGGGGGACACACAAGGACAGTAGGAAGGACAGGTTAGAGGGGGACACACAAGGACAGTGTGGAAGGACAGGTGGAGGGGGGGACACACAGGACAGTATGGGGGGGACAGTGGGGGGGACACACAGGGACAGTATGGAAGGGACAGGTGAGAGGGGGACACACAGAGGACAGTATGGGGGGGACAGGTGATGGGGGGACACACAGGACAGTATGGAAGGGACAGGTGAGGGGGGACACACAGGACAGTATGGGGGGGACAGTGAGAGGGGGGACACACAGGGACAGTATGGAAGGACAGGTTAGATGGGGGGACACACAAGGACAGTATGAAAGGACAGGTGATGAGTGGACACACAGGGACGATATGAGGGATAAGAGAGGGGGGGACAGGTTAGAGGGGGACACACAGAGACGATATGGAGGGACAGGCGATGGGGGGGACACACAGAGACGATATGGAGGGACAGGCGATGGGGGGGACACACAGAGACAATATGGAGGGACAGGCGATGGGGGGACACACAGAGACGATATGGAGGGACAGGCGATGGGGGGACACAGAGACGATATGGAGGGACAGGCGATGGGGGGGACACACAGAGACGATATGGAGGGACAGGCGATGGGGGGGACACACAGAGACGATATGGAGGGACAGGCGATGGGGGGGACACACAGAGACGATATGGGGGACAGGCAATGGGGGGGACACAGAGACGATATGGAGGGACAGGCAATGGGGGGGACACACAGAGACGATATGGAGGGACAGATGATGGGGGGGACACACAGAGACGATATGGAGGGACAGGTGATGGGGGGACACACAGACGATATGAAGAGACAGGCGATGGGGGGACACACAGAGACGATATGGAGGGACAGGCGATGGGGGGACACACAGACGATATGGGAGGACAGGTGATGGGGGGACACACAGAGACGATATGGAGGACAGGCGATGGGGGGACACACAGAGACGATATGGAGGGACAGGTGATGGGGGGACACACGGAGACGGGGGGACACACAGAGACGATATGGAGGGACAGGCGATGGGGGGGACACACAGAGACGATATGGAGGGACAGGCGATGGGGGGGACACACAGAGACGATATGGAGGGACAGGTGATGGGGGGGGGGGACACACAGACGATATGGAGGACAGGCGATGGGGGGACACACAGAGATGATATGGAGGGACAGGCGATGGGGGGGACACAGAGGCGATATGGAGGGACAGGCGATGGGGGGGGACACACAGAGACGATATGGGGGGACAGGCAATGGGGGGACACACAGAGACGATATGGAGGGACAGGCGATGGGGGGGGACACACAGAGACGATATGGGGGGACAGGCAATGGGGGGGACACACAGGACGATATGGAGGGACAGGTGATGGGGGGGACACACAGAGACGATATGGAGGGACAGGTGATTGGGGGGGACACAGAGACGATATGGAGGGACAGGTGATGGGGGGACACACAGACGATATGAGGGGACAGGCGATGGGGGGGACACACAGAGACGATATGGGAGGGACAGGCGATGGGGGGACACACAGAACGATATGGAGAGACAGGCGATGGGGGGACACACAGAGACGATATGGAGGGACAGGTGATGGGGGGGGGGGGACGATATTAGGGGGGGACACACAGAGACGATATGGAGGGACAGGCGATGGGGGGACACACAGAGACGATATGGAGGGACAGGCGATGGGGGGGACACACAGAGACGATATGGAGGGACAGGTGATGGGGGGGACACACAGGAACGATATGGAGGGACAGGTGATGGGGGGGACACACAGAGACGATATGGAGAGACAGGCGATGGGGGGACACACAGAGGCGATATGGAGGGACAGGCGATGGGGGGACACACAGAGACAATATGGAGGGACAGGTGATGCGGGGGACACACAGAGACGATATGGGGGGACAGGCGATGGCGGGGGACACACAGAGATGATATGGAGGGACAGGCGATGGGGGGACACACAGAGACGATATGGAGGACAGGCGATGGGGGGGACACACAGAGACGATATGGGGGGACAGGCAATGGGGGGGACACACAGAGACGATATGGGGGGACAGGCAATGGGGGGGACACACAGAGACGATATGGAGGGACAGGCGATGGGGGGACACACAGAGACGATATGGGGGGACAGGCGATGGGGGGGGACACACAGAGACGATATGGAGGGGACAGGTGATCCTGGGGGGGGGACACACAGAGACGATATGGAGGGACAGGTGATGGGGGGACACACAGAGACGATATGGAGGGACAGGCGATGGGGGGACACACAGAGACGATATGGAGGGGACAGGCGATGGGGGGACACACAGAGACGATATGGAGGGACAGGTGATGGGGGGGACACACAGAGACGATATGGAGGGACAGGCGATGGGGGGACACACAGAGACGATATGGAGGGACAGGCGATGGGGGGGACACACAGAGACGATATGGAGGGACAGGCGATGGGGGGACACACAGAGACGATATGGAGGGACAGGTGATGGGGGGGACACACAGAGATGATATGGAGGGACAGGCGATGGGGTAGTTGCTAAGTCCAGTTACAGGTTGGGGTGGTTGCACTGGAAGCCTTCACTGACATTGTGCTCTTGCTGGGCGTCACGTGCGTCCCTGTGCCTTTAAGGAGGGGTGGGCCCCCCGGCACACCTGTCCTTGAACCTATCCATTATTATATGTGCTCCTACTATGGAGGCTCCGACAATGACAGCGTTAGGACCGCAGTATATACAGAGGCCCCTTGACGTAAGCACTGCGGCGTATGCATATTTTTGCAAATGTGTGCAAACAAAACCCTCTGTTTTTAATGCAAATATGAAGGGACATGTGGGGGGGGGGGGGCACATGGAGGTATGAAGGGACAGCAAGATGAGGAGGGGGGGGGGTATGGAGGGACAGGTGAGGGGAGGGGACAACAGGGACAGTATGAAGGGGGACAGGTTGGGGGGGGGGGGGGGCACACTGGGGCAGAATTGAGGGACACACAGGGCATGGTATGGGGGGGGGGGGGGACAGTTTATGGAGACACTCACACAGGGATGGTATGAGGGGGACACACTTGGGACAGTATGGGGGGGACACACAGGGACAGAATGGGGGGCAGGTTAGGAGGGACACACAGGGACGGTAGGAGGGGGACACACAGGGATGGTACGGGAGGGATAGGTTAGGGGGAACACACAGGGATGGTATGGGGGGACCCCCCTCCCGTGGTATGGGGAGGGGCAGGTTAGAGGGACAAACTGGGACAAGTGAGGGAGGGACACACATGGATGGTACAGAGGTGAGGGGGGAACACAGGGACAATATGGAGGGGCACACAAGGGAGACACACTGGGGTGGTATAGGGGGGGGGGGACAGGTTAGGGTAGGACATAGGGCTGGTATTGAGGAACAGGTTGGGGGAGGACATACAGGATGGTATGGGGGGGAACACACAGGGAGGGAATGGAGGGGAGAGGTTGGGGGACACAAAGGGCCAATATGGGGGGGGACAGGTTGGGGGGCAACACAGGGATGATATGAGGAGGATGGGTTGGGGGGGGGCACAGGGACGGTATGGGAGGACAGGTTAGGGGGGGCACAGGTATGGTATGGAGGGACACACAGTGATGTATGGGGGACAGGAAAGAGAGTGACACACTTGGACAGTATGGGGGGGGACGACATGCTGTGGTGGTATGGGGGGGGGGGGATATGGATTGTGTGACAATTGTGTGTGACAATTGTGCATAGAGGCATGGACACTGTACATGACAGCCAGCCATCTTGTTAGGTGCAGCCATGTTGTCTCTCCTGTCCTCCCTCCTCCCTGTTGAATGGAATGTGAGGCTGTAAGTGAACGGAGCTCAAAAGGACCTCTTATCCTAAATAAAACACCGCTAGAGGAGCTCCGGGCTGTAAACCACTAAGTAGTCTGGTCCCAGAGGGACTGCTGGAAAACCACTTTCCTCTGCCCCATGGTAAAACAATAACTCAGTCAGTCATGACCGGTTAGGCCATTAGGGCAGAGCGTGCCATAAAAACGTAACATTCCACAGGAGTCATTTTTCATACAAAATTCATACACTTCAGCAGGAACTGGGCACATTACTATGAAGTACATATTCGGATAGGTCATTTTAATACGAGTCAAACGAGACCTTACATCACTATATCAGTACCTACTAGAGAAGAAAGCAGTACTTTTATCCTGAGTGGCAGTGCAGGGGCGGGTGGCAGTTTATAAACGGGCTCCCCGAACCCTGCTTGTGTGCACTCCCTGGGAGCGTGGCAGTACTGCGATCAGGTGCCCGCTGTATCCTCCGGACACAGTGGAACACTGATCGTCGAACAGGACCTCTGTGCGAGGTCCCCATCATGTGATCACTGATGGAATAGGGGCCAATCAGTGATCACATGCAGAGTAGTAAGCAAGATGTCACTTCTGCCATCATTGCCTTACTACGTGTGAAATCTGTGAATGATCAGAGAAGGTCACATGGTACAAGGCTATTCACAACAGCCTTGTACCATGTGACAAGCTTTGACAATCACAGCTCACTTAGTAGTTCTCAATGGCTGCAAGAATGCAGCCAAAGAGAAGGAGAAATGATTGCTTTTACAGCCTTTATGGGTGTAAAACCAATCAGGGGTGGTATGAGGGGATAGGTTAGGGGGGCACACAGGGGTGGTATGAGGGGATAGGTTAGGGGGGCACACAGGGGTGGTATGGGGGATAGGTTAGGGGGGCACACAGGGGTGGCACACAGATAGGGTATGGGGGGACAGAGGGGTGGTATGAGGGGGGTTAGGGGGGCACACAGGGGTGGTATGAGGGGATAGGTTAGGGGGGGCACACAGGGGTGGTATGAGGGGATAGGGTTAGGGGGGGCACACAGGGGTGGTATGGGGGATAGGTTAGGGGGGCACACAGGGGTGGTATGGGGGGATAGCTTAGGGGGGGCACACAGGGGTGGTATGGGGGATAATTTAGGGGGGGCACACAGGGGTGGTATGGGGGGATAGTTAGGGGGGGCACACAGGGGTGGTATGGGGGATATGTTAGGGGGGGGCACACAGGGGTGGTATGGGGGATAGGTTAGGGGGGGGCACACAGGGGTGGTATGGGGGATAGGTTAGGGGGGGCACACAGGGGGTGGTATGGGGGGATAGGTTAGGGGGGGGCACACAGGGGTGGTATGGGGGATAGGTTGGGGGGGCACACAGGGTGGTATGGGGGGATAGGGGGGGGCACACAGGGGTGGTATGGGGGACCAGGACAGGAAGTGATGGTAAATTTTGGTAAACTAAATGTTTTTTCTGTGACTTCCTGTCCCAGTGACATCACCCCCTCCCCCCCCCCATTTCTTGCAGGGTGTCACATGAACAGGAAGTGATGGGAATCTCCCCCATGGGGTCACAGATAAAATACAAACCATAACAGATGATATAAACCCCCGACACATGTCTGGGCTGCACATAGAATGGTGCTCCGTGTGTACTCTGTGGGAGGAATTGTGAGGCAGGTCCGCAGGTACCTTTATACTGGCCGGCCAGCGGGGTGAGGTCATACACCCGTCCCAGGTATGACACCCACAAGTCGGCGGCGGTAGAGTGGCGGGACACCTCCCGGGGAGTGTAAAGAATGGAGGTCGGGACGGAGACATGACTGTAGGCTTCTTGGTTACCCCGGCAACGGGACGCGCAGAGCCTTGCTTCCGCACTTTTGCATCACTTCCATGCTGTCTTCTTCACTTCCGCGTTCCACCGGCTCGAGTAATACATCATGTCCGGCGCATAGTCTTTACGGAAGGTGCTATTGGTTGGAGAGGATTGTGGAGGCGTGTCCTTGTCATTAGTGGGCGGGTTTTGTACCTCCCGTAGTGCAGTGCGGGGAGAGGAGGAGATGGCAGCTGTACTGGAGGAGAATGGTTGCAGCCCCCCTCCTGGGGTGAGTACAGGGCCACAACTGCCACTGAGGAGGGGGTCCCCAGAGGCCGGGGTGTCCTATACAGGGACTGGGAGGAGGGGCTTCCGTGTCCTATACAGGGACTGGGAGAGGTGGGGGGTCCCCAGAGACCGGGGGTGTCCTATACAGGGACTGGGAGGAGGGGGGTCCCCAGAGGCCGGGGTGTCCCACACAGGGACTGGGGAGGGGGGTGTCCCCAGAGGCCGGGGTGTCCCACACAGGGACTGGGAGGAGGGGGGGGTCCCCAGAGGCCGGGGTGTCCCACACAGGGACTGGGAGGAGGGGGTCCCCAGAGGCCGGGGTGTCCTACACAGGGACTGGGAGGAGGGGGGGGTCCCCAGAGGCCGGGGTGTCCCACACAGGGAGGAGGAGGGGGGGTCCCCAGAGGCCGGGGTGTCCCACACAGGGACTGGGAGGAGGGGGGGTCCCCAGAAGGCCGGGGTGTCCCACACAGGGACCAGAGGGGGGGGGTCCCCAGAGGCCGGGGGTGTCCCACACAGGGACTGGGAGGAGGGGGTCCACAGAGGCCAGTGGGTTCTATACAGGGACTGGGAGGAGGGGGGTGTCCTGTACAGGGACTGGGAGGAGGGGGCTCCCCAGAGGCCAGGATATTATATAGAGGGGTTCTGAATGGAGGAGGGGGGTGTACACTAGCAGAGATGACTGTGTTGTCCTTGTGTGTGGTCAGGACTCGGATGTGGAGCCCGGGGACAATGCCCGCCATAAGCTGGAGTCTCTTCTGAACAGAAATATGCGGATTGAGATGACAGATGGCCGTTCCCTGATTGGCTGCTTCCTCTGCACTGACCGGGACTGTAACGTCATCCTCGGTTCAGCCCAGGAATTCCTTCGTCCATCAGGTGAGACCCCATCGGACATTTAACACCTTCAGCTGTAACTGCAGTCCTTGCTTAACCGCCAAGGATGACGAGGACCTCCATCCCCACTCAAGCTGGGCATGTGTGTGCCCATGGGGCACCGATCTCTGCTCCGGGGGTGTGCTCTGTCCCTAAGACACAGAGGCTCACCAATCGCGGTAAAGAGCCGAAGGCGTAGAGGGGACATCTACATTGATCATCAGTGCAACCCCATCAATAGCAAATATCTGTGCCCATCAATGACACATATCAGTGCCCATTAGTAATGCCTATCAGTGCCCATCACTGCCACCAGCATTTCTGCATGTCAGTGCTGCTTATCAGTGATGTCTGTCAATGCCCATGCCAGTGCAGTCTCAGTACCGCCCATCTCAGTACTCAGTACCGCCTATCAGTGCTCATCAATGATGTCTTTCAGTACCCATTAATGTCGCCAATCAGTGCAGCCTCATCAGAAGAAAAATTGCTGATTTACAAAATTTTATAACAGAAACTATTTTTTTTTTTTCAAAATGTTGTCTTATTTTAGTTTGTTTGCAAATAATAAACCCCTCCCCCCCCTCACCCCCAGTGGTGATTAAATACCACCAAAAGAAATCTCCATCAGTCTAAAAAAAAAAAAAAAGATACAAATTCCATAATGTCACGGTCGCCCGATCGCCACCCCTCAACATGCGACAATCGCACGACCGCGACCAACAATACGTCACGCCCGCGGCGTCAGACCCCAGACCTTCTCGCCAAACTTGTGACCGAAGGACCCGGGCGATCTAAAACCGCGATGTGACGTGCGTAACAATGCCACACTCGGCTGCGCCCTGCACAACGTTATCCAGCTAATGGAACGCAATCGACGCACCGGCAGCCTGAATGCGCTTGTTTACTGGGTCGGGTTAATTACGCAACTAACCCTCTACTGCCACCACCCCTTTTTGTACAGAGAAAAGGGAAACTCGCTATCAAATATACACTGTAATGGTTGAAAAGTCGCCTGTCCAATACGGTCACCGCAGGCCGATTGGGCAGAGGATTAAACAAACACAGTAGCGTCTCTTCAAAAGGCAGGAATTCGTGAATTACAAGTAAGCGCTTGGAAACAGTTTAACACTTTCATAAAGAAAGATTTATTACTAAAAGAGTCAAACAGGTGCAATATAAATATTTACAAAGAAAATGTAACTAAGATATATAAATTTATATATAAAAAGAAAACAGCACAGCAAAGAGATAACAGGGAGAAGTTAAAAGGTTAAGTTACTTGCCATGTTCAGCCTTGAGGTAGCAGATCCAAGTTGCAGAGCGGAGGGTCTTTGATCTCCTGCTGTTACGATGTTAAAATTGGGAGATGTGTGTGTTTAGCTTAGCTTTTTAGGCCTGTTAGCCTGAGTTTTTAAAAAACTCCCCCAGCAGGGGGGGGGGGGTGGCTCTGAGTAACTGACCAATACGCTGTTTAGGGAGGGGTCAGTCGGGCGACCTCTGAATTAGAACCAACATCTGTCATAATCCATGATATGAAACATAGGGGAAAACCAGATCTGTTAAAAATGTTAAAAGGAATGCCTTGAACTCTTGAGAAGGTTCTGCCATCCTTCCCCGAGGTGTGAAATCACACAGGTCCCTTGGACAGAGAGTCTGCTGTCTCTATGGGGGGGGGGGGGGGGCTTTGTAGCTCTGAGCCCCCTGCTGCTCCAGCCTGCCAGCAACTTTTAAACACTTACACATCTGTCCCTGTGCATCTCAGGAAGGGAGGGGGTAGGGAATAAAGGATTGAGGAATACTTCTAATAAAAAAAGGGAACTCCGCATCCAACTCTGATGAGCAAGTTTTGCTACACATATGGGTACAGTGTTGCATGACCGCGCAATTGTCATTCAAAGTGTGAGAGCGCTGAAAGCTGATCTGGGCAGGAAGGGGGTGAAAGTGCCCGGTATGCAAGGGGTTAAAGCCCAACTCCGGGACAGAAAAAATCTATCCTTGAATTCCCCCTGCAAGGAGCTAAAGTGCAACTTCAGTCAGAAAATGAGGTCCTGGTAGCTCACTCCAGGCCGGCCCCCTTTTGCAGGTATAGATATTAAAAAAAAAAAAAAAAAAAAAAAAATTATACTAATGCAGGCCATAGACTGGTCGAAAAAAAAAAAACCGGACGTTTATTTTTAAAAAAAAAAGAAAAATCGGTCGTTTGATCGCCGACGTTACCACCAACGGTAAAAAAAATCGGCTGATTTTCCGTCCCGTCTATGACCAGCATTTAACCCCATAATTACTTCTGTCCCTTGCAGAGACAGGAGAGCAATAACAGAAGAAGAAGAATTCCAGTCCGCTATTATATTTTAGATGAAAAGTCTTGCGGTTGCAACAATGTATCCATTTGTATCCATTTCGGATACAGATGGTTTTATTTGGATACAAATGGATACATTGTTGCAACCGCAAGACTTTTCATATAAAATATAATAGCGGACTGGAATTCTTTTTCTTCTTATTTTTTCTTCTTGCAGGTCACGGCTCGTGCGCAGGTTTTTTATTTTTATCGGTAAAACGATTGGCCCGATTTGCCCATCATTGCCAGGAAAATCGGGCGAATCGTCAAATTGGCCGCGAATTTTCCCAAACATGCTTCCCGAATAAAAAAAAAATGTGCAAAAAGCCCCAAAAATGGGGGCCGACCTATTAACGGTAAGAAAAATCGGCGATTTTTTTTTTTTTTTTTTTTTTTTTTTTTCCCGCCGAAAAAATCGGCCAATTTTTGGCCTGTCTATGGCCGGCATAAGTGCCTATACTGTTTTAAATCCAGTAATCCACGGTCTCACCCTGCTCTGCACATGCTCAGTTCAGTTTGGTAGAGGCCAATCTGCTGGACAGGCTAAAGATTTACTGCTGCTCAGGGGGCTCTGGGCTTTAGGAAAATGGTGGCCCCCTGCAGGAAGAAACAGGAACAATGCTGGAGCAATTCACAGCATCCACCTATATTGGCAGCATGATTATTAGTGTGTTCCTTGCTAAAGAACATTATTTTTTATCTAGTTATGGGTAAAGTTCCACTTTAAATGCCTTTTTTTTTTTTTTTTTTTCCCTAGAGGTAGAAAAACACGGCGGATACTTTCTGTATTGTTCATTTCCAGTGGTTGTGACCAGCCAGCCCCCCTCCCCAAGCCACCTCTCTAGGGTGCTCTGGTCACACGGTCACACATCTGCCTCCAACCACGGTACAATACTAGGTTGTGTGTGATGACATGAGGGACTACCAAGAGCTGTATATAGTGAATGCGGGGTCCCCGGGGAGAGCGGATATAGTCTGAAGGCGGGGTCCGGGGGCGAACGTAAGCGGATATAGTGAATGCGGGGTCAGTCCGGGGTAGAGCGGATATAGTGAATGCGGGGGTCCGGGGAGAGCGGGATATAGTACATAATGCGGGGGTCCGGGGAGAGCGGTTCTAGTGAATGCGGGTCCTGGTGAGAGCGAGATATAGTGAATGCGGGTCCGGGGAGAGCGGATATAGTGATTATGCGGGTCCGGGGAGAGCGGATATAGTGAAATGCGGCTGTCCGGGGGAGAGCGGATATAGTGAAATGCGGGGTCCCCCGGGGTCCCCAAGCGGATATAGTGAATGCCGGGGTCCCGGGGAGAGCGATAATAGTGAATGCGGGGTCCGTTTGATGAGAGCGGATATAGTTGAATGCGGGGTCCGGGGGGGGGGAGAGAGGGATATAGTGAATGCGGGGGTCCGTGAGAGCGGATATAGTGAATGCGGGGTCCGGGGAGAAGCGGATATAGTGAATGCTCGGGGCTCCGGGGCAGAGCGGATATAGTGAATGCGGGGGTCCGGGGGAGAGAGCGGATATCAGTGAATGCGGGGTCAGGGGAGGAGAGCGGATATAGTGAATGCGGGGTAGTCGGGGAGTAGCGGAAATAGTAGTGAATGCGGGGTTCCGGGAGAGCGGTATATAGTGAATGCGGCGGTCCGGGAGAGCGGAATATAGTGAATGCGGGGTCCCGGGAGAGCTGATATAGTGCATGCCGGGTCCGGGGAGAGCGGAATATAGTGAAAATGCGGGGTCCGGGGAGACCGGATATAGTGAATGCGGGGTCCGGGGAGAGCGGATATAGTGAATGCGGGGTCCCGGGGAGAGCGGATATAGTGAATGCGGGGTCCGGGGGGGAGAGCGGATATAGTGAATGCGGGGTCCCGGGGAGAGCGGATTATAGTGAATGCGGGGTCCGGGGAGAGCGGCGAATATAGTGAAATGCGGGGTCCGAGGAGTGAAGAGCGGACTTATAGTGAATGCAGGGGTCCGGGAAGAGCTGAATAGTGAAATGCGGGGCATCCGGGGAGAGCGGATATAGTGAATGCGGGGTCCCGTGGAGAGCGGATATAGTGAATGGCAGGGTCCGGTGAGAGCGGATATAGTGAATGCAGGGTCCGGGGAGAGCGGATATAGTGAATGCGGGGTCCGGGGAGAGCGGATATAGTGAATGCAGGGTTTAGTAACACTTTGACAAGCCTGTGTGAAAATCATCATGCGCCCCCCTAGGGTAGGGACACTCAGACTGAGTCCTTATGAGAAGTCGGTGATTCCATAGTAGTATACATGGGTATTGAAGTAAGTGTAAAGAGGGATGTGAAGATTATAAAAGGACTCCACTTGTTTCCCTTTTTTTTTTTTTATTTTTTTTTTTTTTTTTTTTTATTTCTTCTTCAGACCATGCAGCTTAGGTCAGTCCAGCAAAGGCATCGATTCGACTCTGCTGTGACACTGCCCTGACCTACAACCTGCCCCCTGGCTGGGTTGAAAGCCACAAATCCAGGCGATAAATATTGTGTAATGGGTACCATTGTACTGCACCTAGGTACCTGTTTTAGCCACTAAGCAGCATAGCTTCATAGAGAAGAACTGGGAGGCAAGTTGTCTAACTTTAGAGCCACTATAACTTTGACCTAATTAAACATGGAAATTAGTGCCACCTATCTGGCATGAAGGTAAGTAAATACTAAATCTAGACCCC